TTGTGAAAAGAGAGACCCTTCAAAAAAAAAAAAAAAAAAAAAAAAAAAAGCAAATACACAATTGTGTGTATGTGTATATAAGTAAATAAAAAGCAAATTCTTCCTCAACTAAAGGTCTATGATCTATAAACAAGTTATTTTCCAATCCCCACTCAAAATACATTGGTAGAATGGGCACAGAATAACCAATAGGAGCATTCTACTCTATGAAGGAAACAGGAGGCACCAAGGCACCAAGTTGTCTATAGCAGTTCCCAAGCCAAGCAAGACAGAAGTTGGAGCATCCTTGCCTAGGATTCAAATTCTGGGCAAACATTCCTGAGCTCTCGCCTCTAGACAGCTCTGCCTGTCAACTGTTTCTATTTAAAGACAGATGTGCACGAGTTAGAGTGGGTTTCCCTGTCTCCTTTCTACTGGTTGAACTTTGAGGCCTCAGAAGACCCATTAGATTTTGTGTGTGTACCTTTGGGCTGAAGCTGGTAGTGTTCCTCCTGCCACAGCACCTTTAAAATCATTATGGAGGAATGGAGCTGGGTCTGACCCACAAGCCTCCACGCAGGGGACTTCCTTTCATAGTACTGGAAGTACTATGTGAAGTTATAACTACAACAGTAACCAACTTAGCAAGATGTCCTTCAAGGTGCAATAGTAGCACTTATATCTGAGGGGCAAACAACAATTGTCTGTTTGGACATACGGCCACAGCTTTCTTTCTATGGCTTTGATGACACTGACAGCAGCCCTTTGTCTCAGATCACAGACAGCACAACAGTCCAGAACAGTATAGTCAGAGATGCTCTCAGCCTGTGTGGGTTTGCTTGGCACCATACTGAGGATGGCAGCGTCTCCAGATTCCCATAATGTAGGGCCACCTTCCAGCTTTGTAGCAGAGTGGCCATTTATCTTTTCTTTCTGTTCAGTGAATTCGCTGTGAGCCAAGTGACAACCCAATGAAGGGGGTGGAACCAGCAAGAATTTGGCCTGGATGATTTTGGGATAATCACTTGAGTAGTGTGGCCCAGTGCTTCCACTCAAGGGTCACTTTTGCCATCACCAGCAATGCTGCCAAGATAAACATCTTTGTCAACACATATTATTGCCATTGAAGCCCACTTTCTCCCCAGGAGGTACTTCTCTCAAAGCCTCATGGGGCATTTAACACACTTTAGTTGTGACATGGACTGCAGCAAAAATGATGAACATGATTTGTTTGAGAAAACGTCAGCCCACAGAGACATTACCAGTAATTTATAGACACCCAATATATAGAATATATATATATATGTATATATATATGCTTCTGTATGCTTATATATATGCTTGTATCAGTTGGACAAGTTGATAGCAGGAATGTAGTTCCATTGACATCTTCACAGATGATTTCTGTCCCTTTGACCCAAGGTGTATTAGAACATCAATGGTTCTAGCATGTTGTCACCCTTCCAGACAGAAATTGGCACAAATATCATCACATCAGGGTTGTAGCAAGCTTTTTTGCTTTGTTTTTTTAAATGTAAATGGCTCATATCTCTTTCTGGCTGTAAGGTGGACCAATGGAATGAATTTTGTTAATGTCAACATTTAGCTATTTCACACCTGATGTGAAACACAGGACATGCCTCCAGGTCTGTCATTGTTAGAGGTACCAGATTCAGGACTGCATGGTTAGATGTGCCCTAGATGAGCCTGTGCTTGTGCTTTTAGTAAAGTCTCTTTGTCCTGGGGCATCACTGATAATCACATAGTATTTGTGACTCTCAAGTTTCCACAGGGAGCTGAAACCATGGATACCATGCTCACAGCAAAGACCCAGGCATACTTGAAGGAACCTTGCCCAACTCAGCCTCCTCAAATTCCCATTAGTTCTTTTGTGGCTCTCACTACATTTCTAGATCAGACGGCCAGTATTGGTGACTTGCCTGAATCCATGTGTCAATGATAATGACTTTGAGCTGTATTTTTACTTTCTCCATTTTGCCTTTGATTTGGCAATAGGTTTTACAACATCTGTGTTCTGATGATAAGCCTGTTGCGAAATGGTGATACCCAAGCCTTCCAGTCTACTTCCCAAGTGTCTTTCCCATGTTCATTAAACATCAGTAAGACTTTTTGTTGTTTTTCTAGCTGCTGTTACTAAGTAGTGTTCCCTCACTCCCTAGTGTGTTAGTTACTTTTCTGTTGCTGTGATATATTGTTGTATGATGTTTTTGTTCTTTTTGGGCTCCTTTGTGGGGGCCCACCACCCAGTACTCAAATAAATTACACACGGAGGCTTTTTCTTAGTTATGAGTGCCCTGCCTTTTTGGCTTGTTTCTAGCCAGCTTTTCTTAACTTAAAATTAACCCATCTACTTTTTCCCTCTGGGTTTTTCCTGTTCTCTTACTTCTGCAAATCTTACTCCATGGATTGCTCTGTAGCAGATGGCTGGGTGGCTGGCCTCTGATGTCCTCCTTTCCTTGTTCTCTTGTTCCTCTTCCTCATTTGTCCTGTTTATACTCTCTGCCTGCCAGCCCCACCTATCCTTGCTCCTGCCTTGCTATTGGACATTCAGCTCTTTAGTAGGGGTACCAGGTGTTTTAAACAGGCAAGGAATCACAGCTTCACAGAGTTAAACAAATGCAGCATAAACAAAAGCAACATGCCTTAAAATAATATTCTACAACAATGATCTGATACCATGACCAGGACAACTTATAGGAAAATTTCTTTTGGCTTACAGTTCAGAGGAAGAGTCTATAGTGACAAGGAAGATGTGGTGGAAGCAAGGAGCAAGAGCAGGAAGCTGAGAGATCATATGTCCAGTGACAAACGCAAAGCAGAAACCATAAAGAGTGAAGCTGAAGTAAGATGGGACTATGAACCCGAAGCACACCTCCAGTGATGTGCTTTCTCCAGCAAGGCTGCAGCATCAAAATCTCCTAAACACACTACCAACTTGGGAGCAAGTGTTCAAATACTTAAGCTTATAGGGGGCATTTCTCATTCAAGCCACCATACCTAGAATTCCTCCCTAGAAACACAGATGAATGCAGTGGGGCTTTAGGTTTCGGCCTGGCAAGATTTTTGCTGCTTCCCCTATCTTGCTAACCCTGCATCGCTGCTAGAATTACAGTCACTCAGCAAGTCTGTGTAAAATACAAACAAGGCCCTTTCAGTTCT